CACTCCTAATCCTGATGACAGTCTGGTCTGTGCTCCCCTCCCTCATGCCCCTATAGCATTGTGATGGATTGGGCAATACGGGAAGGCCAAACAAAAAGGTGCCTCTCTGTCCAGCTGCTGATACTGCCCTCTTCTCTGGGTGTCTCCCCAACTGACTATGCCTCTGTCATTCTCTTCTGGCTTTCCAGGTGCCCCAGAGGCATGGGGGATGCTAAACCAGCTTCTCAGAGTATAATCCCTGTTTTCAGACAGTACTATGGCCCCTTTGCCTCCACCCCACTTCCCTACTCCTTGGTCCAGGCAGGTTCTGCAGCCCAGACTGGGCTATTGGAAGGCCCCACGTTCCCTCTAAACTTTTAGGATGAGGGCCAGCCTTGGGCCTTCTGATCAAGGCCCGAGTGGCAGTGGCCAGGCAGCAGGGCTGTTGGTAGGAACTCTTCCTAGGCTTTTCCAATTTGCTTTAGTTGAAGAAAAGAGTTCCTGGAGAAATCCCCTAATCTGCAGTCACTGTTATTCCAGGGAGCATGATAGAGAGAAACCCCCTGCACACTACCCACACAGCTTGCCCTCCCACCAGGGCACTTCATTACCCTGGAATCCTCCCCCCCAACTCCTCCCCCACTAGATGGAAGGAGGAATAGGGCCAGAGGAGAGGGCACAGAAGGTACTCAGGGTCTCCCTATGTGAGGCCTGTGAGCATCCTTCCTACTGAGGACCCCCAGGACTTGACCTGATCGTCCTACATTTTGCTACCAACACCTCAGAGGGTGGGCATCCCACCTGCCATGCAGGAAGCCATTTGGGAAAATCTCTTGGAGGTGAGGCCCCTGCCTCTGGTCTGGCTCTCCTGGAGGCCTAGAGCTGAGGGATATTTGAGGTAAGAGCAGCCGTGAGGCAGGACACAGGCCTCCAGTGACATCTGCTCATTACTCCAAGGCTTTTCCTCTCGAGCCTGCCCTGCCCTGGTAGGAGGCAAAGGTAAGCAGAATATGTTCCTCCCTTCCTGGCCCTGAGGTGTGAGGTGTTGACAAGTGTAGGCAGGTGGAGACAGGCCCACTCAGCTATCAGAAACCTGTATAAAAGCACCCTCTATTCATGCAGCACAAGAAGGTGGATAGTGTGGAAGAATCTAAAGATCTAGAAAAATGTGGCAGTGAAGGAATTTTTCCCACATGCTAGAACCCTAGACTTTGTTTCTGAAACTTCATTCTTTGGGAAAGCCTATGAAGCATCAGTTTAGGAAAATTTTAGGACTTCCTTGTTACATGGCCTTTCTAAACACATCTCCAAACAATTCTTTTAAGATTATGCAGTAGGACACGGTTGATGTATGCAATCATCCCAGCAGAACCTGACTCAACAAAACGGTGCAGATGAGGCAAGTACCTTTTGAGGCTGTACGTATATGTCCATTTTCAAAAACAAAAGAGCTTCAAGTGAAAGACTTTATTAAGAAATTGTAAGGACATCATCTTGGCTGAATTTGCATCGCTGCAACCCTCGGAGCCGAGATTCAAAGGCAGAAATGCCCGTGGTGACAGCACCACTGCTGCCTTTGACTAAATTACAGATACATCACACTTGGGCTTGAGCTAGAATGGACCTGCATGGACAGCAAAGGGAACAACAAAGGCCTGTGAGGAGGGAAAGCCACATTCTAGTCCTGATTCTGCCTCCAATTTCCTCTGTGACTTTGCTGAGTCACCTAATCTCTGGGCTGCAGTTTTCTCACCTGTAGAAGAAGGGGTGGGGTTGATGATTCTAGAATTTCTCTCAGCTCTGTGATTCACCATATTCCAAGCACAGAACCTCCTCAGATGTTCATTCATTCAACAAAGTTTGCATGAGCATCTACTATATGCCAAGCATCATGCTGGGATTCCTGCCCTGGATAGCTCACAGCCTACTGGGATTAGCAGAGAGGTGATTCAATTGGGATAAAGAAGGACACAGGGCACACCACTGGCCTAGGAGCACAGGTATCTATCTATATGCCTGCCCCCCTGCAACAGGCTTTGCAGGGTTTCCTCCAAAGGCTGGCAGATCACCAGGACCACCCTCCCTCTCTACAACCTGTGAAACAAATGGATCTAAGCTTGCAGATATTTTCACCAAATCAAGAAGTCATGCAACGTGATAGAGCAGAGGAATGAGTCTGTTTGTACAGGCCATCAGTTTTCAGAAGTCCATGAAGACAAGAAGAACAAAAGAATCAACACAGATTATCACACTCAGAAATTTAAAATGATTAGAAAAAGTGCCAAAGATGCCATGGTGACCGCTGGCTGGTTTGGGACTTCCAGCACCCATTCCTTTAGTAACAGCACTCTAATATTTACATCATGTCTGGTGACAGAAGCTCTGTGCCCAGGCTCCCCTCCCTCCACCAAAGCGAGAGGTGGATACATGGCTTGAGCCTGCCAACCAGATGCTCCCTGCTCTTGGACTAGGGGTGGAGGTGTACTAGGTGGAGTGCGTGGTGGCAGCATCTTCCGTACAGGTCAATCCTGACGCCTAGAGTCCTCGGGGCTGCCTGGCTTCTGTCCTGAACTTGATGCTCCAGACTTCTCATCAGTGCTAGCAATTAGTTACCTGATGGTTATCAAAAATTTTCTTTCTTGCTTGGAGCTAGGGTGGGTTCCATGGCTGGTAGTTGGAGGACTTGACTAAAGTTTTTATGATTAATGCCACATGGTCCGATACTGTGCAGTTCAATCAGAATGTCCATGTGTTCACCTGGAGACCTTTGCACAGGAGGTGACTGGGTTCATGTTTTGGAAGATTAACCTGCCACCAGTTGGTAGCTGGATAAGAATGAGCAATGAGCAACACAGTCCTGACAGCTGAAAGCTGAGAAGAAAATTCATGTTTATTGAACTCTCCTTAGTGGTCCCTGTGCCAGGAGCTTTGTTCATTTCATTCCTACAATCCCGGAAAGCAGGCAAAATCATCCCCATTTTATGGATGAGGAAATTGAGTGTAGGGGGTAAGTACATGCCAGAGGTGACTCGGCTGATGAACAGCAGAGCTGGGATTTGAAGTCAGGACTGTGAAAACTCAGAGCCTGGGCTTTTAATCAAACACCACGTTGCTTTACTATGGAAGAAAATTTCTGAGTTTTCAAAAATAATCTGAGCAGCCTAGTGCCACCTTGGATGTAAGGGGCTGGGGAGTGGGGAGAATCGGCCAGCAGGTTGCGGTCTGTCAGCAGCGGGGGACACTGGGAGCAGGAGCTGGCGGGCCAGGGTGGCACAGGCGGTGGGGTGAGCATTTCCCCGTGGATGGTCAGAGCCCCCGAGAGGACAGTGTTTCAAGCGAGTGTGGGGAGAGAGGGATAGGCAGCCAAAACTGGGGCTTGGGCACCCCACAGCTGGACGCTGGGAGAAGTCCAGGAGCCAGGGAAGCGGGCGGGAGGCGCAGAGGGAGGGAGGGCACTTTGGGGAGCGCGGCTCCACCTGGCGCGCCCGGGGCGGCGAGCCAGCAGGCGCATGCGCACAGGAGCTCAGGCCCCCTACCTGCACACGCGGGCTTCGGCCTGGGGGCCATGATACGTAAAGGGCGGTTGAGTGGCGGGTTTCGCTGGCCCCTGCAAACTCAGGACGCCAGCGTTCACGTTGCCCAGCACCCCTCGTGGGCCACTCCCAGCAAAACCAGCTGAGACCCGGAAAGGGGAGCTGAGCCCCGCTGTGGTCAGGGCCAGCCAGGTCTGAATCTCGCTGCTCTCCGGGGGTGGGAAGCCTGGGAGGTCTGGCTTCTGGGGGTCTGGGGGAGGCTCCCACTGATCCCGGCAGGCAGCCCTTCCTCTCCCGCCCCCTCAGTAAAGGAAGGCAAGGGAAAACGTGCTTTTATAAATAGCTCCAGCCCCAGCTGATTTGTAAATTCAGTGGGGGTTTTTTTGTGTGTCAATGACATCACCCTCCTCCCCATGGCAACCCTCGACGATATCAAAATTGCCAAGCAACGTTGGAGCAGGTCGCTGCCTGAGGATTTAATGGAGAAATCTCAAAGTGAGCCGGGGTGCGCGGTGGAGGAGGGGCGGCCGGAGCGGGGAAGGAGTCTGGAGCCCGCTGCCGGTGCCGCCTGCCGGGCAGCCCTGGGCCGGCGGGGGCTCCCCGCCTGATGTGCCAGGAGCCGGCGGCAGCCATCCAGGAGGCTAAACTGGCCCACTGGCACTGAGTCACCTGCTGGCCTAGAGGTTTCTTTCTTCTCTTTTGCATCTGATTATTTTGGGAGCTGGAAACTTGGAGCTGCACCTGAGTCCCGCCCCTTCCAGCCGCCCCTCCCTACCTTGGGCTCCTAGGAAGATGGAACCTGCTGACAGTCTGCCGCCACTTCCTAAGGATATGGAAGACATTATGGGGGCCCGAAGTGCCATGGGAGAGACGCCAGCCAACAAAGTGCAATAGCAGATATGGTGATCAGGCTGCTGTGTCCTCTAGAGGTGTCGGGAGAAAAGGGGGGTTGGGTCCATGCCGACTGGAGTCCTCCAGGGCTGGCTTTGAACTCACCTCCCAGGAGATATTCCTGTAAATGAGTGGCTTCTAGGGTCAGAGTGGCATTTGGAGAGCAAGGCTCGATTGGCTTAGGCTGGCCTGGGCAGGTAGGTGGCTTTGTGCTGGGTGTGGCCCCACGTGTGTGAGAATGTGTGTCATCCCAGTGCTGAGGACAGCAGGGGGATCCAGAGAGCTGGGGATTCGGGATTTGGCGGCAGCTTGTCCTAACTGATGCTGGGCCAGCCCAGGTTCTGAGATGGGTACTGTGGAAAAGGGACACCAAGCACCTGGCCTGGTCAGGGCGAGGAGCAGCTCCAGCTGAGACAAGCCCAGGCCCTCCCTGAGTCCAGAGCACAGACACGAGGCAGAATGCCGAGGTAGGGAGTGGTCCAGAGGGGCAGGCCAAGGATAGCAGCCAGCCCACCAGCGCGCCGGACAGCACATCACGTAGGCTGCTCCCTCTTCCGACAGCCCTGGGCACTAAGGAGACGGCTTTCTACCAAGGAATTCTGACACTCACCCATGCAGTGCCAGTCAGCATCTCTGTGTGCTCTCTGCCAAGCTCACGGGTGCGTTTCCTGAGAGGAGCACTGGCCAGGACACAACTTCCCCATTCTCAGGACCCAGTCAGGGGCCACTGCTCAGCCTGGCGCTCAGGCCAGAGCCCCTGGACCCCACAGGGCATGCTCCGGTGCATGTCAGGCAGAGAGGCGTGGGCCCCCCACCTCCCCCACACAGCTGGCAGCCTCACAGGCACACCGGTGAGTAAGCTGCCGAGGGAGGAGGATTGGTGCCCACAGAGGCAGGATGACACTAACCAGGAGCCTTTGGGAGAAGCGGCTGGGTGAGGAAAGCACTGAGGTTTTCTTTTTCTTTCCTTTTTTTTTTCTGCCTTTTTGCCTGAAGGGAGTGGCGCTTCCTGGGCTAGAGACAAGCACCAGCCTGCAGTGGGGAGCTCAAGGCCCAGCTGCCTGGAGGAGCAGCCACGGTAAGGTCCCTGCTACGGACATAGGCTCTGGCTTCCCAGACAGGGGTGGGGGTGTGGAGGTGTCCAGGCCATGTGCCATCTAGGACAGGGGTGGCAGCTGTGGGTTCCTGTGGGCCCCATTCAACCTGCCACTTCCTTTCCAGATTGATTTTAAAACAGCCCAGTCCAAGCTGGCCTCTGGTTTCCTGGCTAGAGGGAGAAATGTTTATTTCTGCTGTTCCTGCCTGTACCTCCCCCTCCTGCTGGGCTGAGCCGGTGCCACCAGGACGCCCCCCCAGGATGTCCTCTTACCCTACCACCTCTGAGACACTCCCCTCTTGTATTCATACCACAGATATTTATGGAGCATCATTGGGACCCAGGCTCCAAGTCATGCCCCTATGCAGAGCTTAGCCTGGACAGATTCTGACTGAAATTCAGTGGAAGTCTGGGTCCAGGGGATGCCTGGCTGAGCACCATTCCTCCTCACAGGCCTTGGGCTCTTCACTTCTGCTACAGGGGTTAGCGACCTGGTTTGCTCCTGGGATGTCAGCCCAGTGAGCTTGGGGTATTAAAGCTCTGGGGCCCAACCAAGAAGCAAGGCTAATATAGCGTAGTTTGTTCTTTCCCTGGTGTCACACACCAAGGTCAGAGGTCCTGCTTGGGTTCTTTTCTAAGCTGGTTCTGGTGGGAACTGGATTCTAAGAGTTGAGGATAAGCTCTGGGCTTCCTGGCCCTTGGGCCCTACAGAAGCTCATCTAGCTGGGAATACGGCCTTTGGGCCAAGCAAGGGGTCCCCTCTGAAGATTAGGAGGGCAAACCTGGGAACCCTAAGTGCCTAGTCAGGAGTGGGTGGACACCAGGAGCAAGGCTTCTGGAAGCACTTGATTTGGGTGGAAAGCTGTGTGCCCCTGTGAGTAGCCACAAGGTGGGAGTGTGGGGGCTGCATGGACCTTCTAGTCCCCCAAGGACAGACTGATTCTTTGTGAGCTGAGCTCTCTAGGACATGCCAGGCACAGGAAAGGTGCAGGCAGGAGGAACACATGAGATCAGAGTCAGGATGAACCCCTACATGTCTCCCACTCAACTGATCCCTGCACCTGGCTCCAGGACAAGGAAATCCTGCCTCCCCACAAAAGGTGACTCTAAGCCTGGGAGTCCCCTGTGTGTGCAGAGCTAAGCAGCAGCTGGTGCCCAGCTGGGTTCAGAGTGGCAGAAGCTATTGAGTGCCAAACAGCAAGCTAGCAGGGTGGCAGCTGATGGAGCCACGAGGGAGCAGAGGGTAGAGGCCAGGGTATAGGGGCAGGAGAGGGAAAGCCTGTCTGGAGTTTTAAGATGGCTTAGGGAGGACTCTGGACATTGATTTTCTGATACCTCCTACCTCTGTGGGACGGCTGGCAGGGAGTAGGCAGACTGAGAGACTGCATTCCTTACCCACGTGGCCCCAGAGACACCTCTAGCACACACTGTCCTGGGTGTAGAAGGCCGGAAGGATTATGGGAAGCTGTCCTGTGGCCTGAAGCAGAGCCCTCTACATCATGAGTGAGAAGGCCCAGGTCTCAGGAGCAGTTTCTAAGAGCTGGGCAGTAGGAAGGGTGCGGCAAACCTCACCCACTGGCATTCTGCAGCCTGCCCCTGTGAGGGCTTTGAGAAGAGGTCATTTCTGTGAACCTGCCTTGGTTAAAGGAAGTGGGCTAGCTAACAGGCTGGAATAGAGCATGGAAATACGAAAACTTCAGAGGCAGAAAGAACTCAACCTCCTGGCCCCAGCCGGCCCTTCTGCCTGGGGTGAGTAAGCTGACTGGAAGCCTCCTCTTCTGAGCTCAGCCCTAGAGCCCATTAAGGGCTAAGGTGATATGTGTGGGGTGTGAGATAAAGGGGAATTTGTCTTTTCTTGGCAATATGTGTGCTCCAGGCAGCACCTGGAGATGGCAATTGGCATCTTGTCCTGGCTCACTTGCTTGCAGGCAGGGATCAGCGGTTCCCTCCTAAATATAAAACACTGGTGGCAGGAACAGGGGGTGGGGGGAGGTGCCAAGAAATGAATGGGACAGAGCCCTTGCCCCGAGGAACTTACAGTCCTTCAGTAGAGGAGGGAAAGGAAAGCTGAGCATGGGGCCAACACCACCAGAAACCAGCTGAGCTACAGAGCCATGATTAGCAGCATGGCAGTGTTGCCCTTTTGCTCACTCTGGGTCCCTGATTCATCACTGTAACTGTCAGCCATGACCATTCAGTCCAGATAATTTATAAATTTAGACCGATAGTGGGAGATGGTTCTTAACATAGAACTTTATAAAGATGAATAAAAAAAAAGATTAGCCGAGAATGAAAACACAAAGGAAGAAGCAGCTTCTACTGTTATGGGCAGAGGACAGATTCTCAGGGAGATATACAGGTACAGGAAAAGGCAGAATGGTGGGTGGTTAACAGCAGGTGAGTGTCAGGCCTGGGGCTGCCTCTTCCTGCCTGGGTGACCTCAGATAAGTTACCTCATCTCTCTAGGTCTCAATTTCCTTTTCTGTCCAATGGAGATAATTATAGTACCTATGAGACACGCATGTTGAAAAGATTAAATGAGGCCATATGCAAATACCCTTAGCAGCATGGCTGGCACATAAGTGCCCAGCAAAAGATAATGTTGTCATTGTGATGATTATTAGTGTTAGAGGAACAAAGTGCCAGGAGGGAGAGACCTCACTGGGGTCTTCAGGGAAATCATAAAAGACTTCATGGAAGAGGTGGCTTTGGAAGAACCCTTCCCTGAAGAAAAGCTAAACTCTCAGAATGCCGATAGATCCATGCCCGATCATGCTGGGAAGAAAAGCTATACCTGATCCACTTTTTCCCAAATAGCAAATTGTTTATCCACTGAAGTTCTCTAAGGAATGATTTGAGCCTATTAAGAGTTTTCTGCTTTTGGGAGGGGGGGGTATAGAGTTTGAGGTCTTGAGAACTTGCCGGGGACTGTATATGGTGAAGGAATCAAAAGTTGGACTCTGATCACACTCTTCTTTGGGCCTGGAATCTTGTCAAGGGTAGCCTCAATTCCTTGAAGAACTGTTCACTAATAAGCCCCATCTGAAACACACATTTGGAGGAGGTGCTTCATGCAGAAGGGCCAGACTGGAGACTCCAGCGATTTCCTTGACTATTGCGGCAGGTGACTTAGAAATGCCCAAGAATCATAAGGCTAAAACTCAGAGACGTTTTTCTTTGCCTACCAAACGGCTATGATTTTATGAATTTAGGAAAGGTAATCCCAGGTTCTGTTCATCTAGAAGAACAATGCTGGAGGGATTAGCATGCAAAAAATGGGTTCCCTCCTAACTACATGGGGCTACATCAGTCCCAGCAAAGGGACACCCACATTGGCCAGCATTTTCTATAAAACCTCATACGTCATATCAGTCAGTGTAAAGACCCAGGTCTTTACAGAGAGACGATGATGACTTTTTTTGTACATCTATAGATTCTCTGTGGCAAAACTGCCCCCTCAGAGTGCCGCATCGTCAGCAAATGCTGGCATCTTCCTGCTTGGCTCTGGTTTGCCCAAGCCTCAAAGCACTCAGGCCCCTGGGCCTCCAGCTAAGAGGATGGAGCAGGGCTGTGTTCATTCTGGCTGCCCAGGACCTGGAGTGGGGGGCCTCTGGGTGCTCAGAAAAGCAAGTCCAGAAAGCTCAGGTCAGCTGATGCATTGCTCTGGCCTCTGATCCCAGTGTAGCAGCTCACCCCCAGGCAAATAGCAATGAACCAGTCACCTTGCTCAAGGGCCCCTGCCGCCTGTCTGTCTGCCCTTGCTCCTGAAGGCTGCAGCAGCAGCAGGGTTAAAACTGGAAGGACTGGTTCTCTGGTTCAGCTTCCTGGCCTGGAGCCTCCAGCCTCCATTTTCTTTCTTTCAGCTTCAGATGAGGCTTCAGGTGGAATTATGCAAAAAGGCACAGGGTGGAGGGAGCCAAGGGACCCGTCATGCCACAGCCTCCCTGGACGTCCAGAGCACAGTCCTGGGTCAGCGGGGAGAAGCGCATAGGTAGAAAGGTCTGCTCCAGAAAGGAGCTGGCTGCCTTGGATTTCAAGCCAAAGGAAGTCCCTAAGAATGTCTAATGCAGCCCACATGTTAGAGAGAGAAGAGGAGTCCCAGGGAAGGAAAATGGGTCCTGGGACCACACAGCTAACTGCCACAGAGCCAGTTTCAGGTCTGGGGGTCCCCATCCCCCATTCCAGTACTCTCACCTCCCAGACTGCCTTTCCATCAGCAGCAGCATCAAAGGCACCCCGAGCAGGGGAAAATGCTAGCTGCCTGGTAAAACTCAATGGCTTCAGAGAGGTGGCCTGGCCTGACAAAGTGGGAATCTGGACAGGTCCCAGCACTCCTCTGTGCCTCCTGCCCTAACAGGGTCCTGGTCCTGCCCCCTGCCCCCCATCTTGCTCCATATGGAGCCCCAGCTCATCTCCTGCCCCTTCAGCAGAGCTCCCCAAGAGCAGACTCTGCCCATCCTACCCAGGCCACTCTCTGAGTGTAAATGGATTGACTCAAGTTCTACTTGTCCCAGGAAGCATATTTTTCCCCCATTAATTTTTAGAGTGGAAGGGGGGGGGGGCAGGAAGGGAGGGAAGAGGGCAGAGAAAGGGGGAAGAGAGAGAGAAACATCGATGTGAGAGAGACACATCGATTGGTTGCCTCCCACACACTCTCCAACCGGGGCTGGGGATCGAACCTGCAACCCAGATATGTGCCCTTGACCAGGAATCAAACCTGCAACCCTTCGGTACACAGACCAATGCTCTAACCACTGAGCAACACTGGCCAGGGCCCAGGAAGCACTTTACATTTTAACCAGAAGGCTGTCAATGTCTTAAGCCAAAGAAGGAAGTAATGATGAGAATATCTAGGAAAGAAAGGGAAATTTTTGGGCTTAGGTTAAGGGAGGCATACAGGAAACCTTTTATCTCAGGTGGATTTTTCAACAGTGTACACTCTGACCCCAGGCAGGAATATAAATGTCCAATGGCCACCATCA